AAAGGGAACCAGACGGTGCTCATCCACCCCAACTCGGCGCTCTTTGAGGAGACGCCGCGCTGTCTGCTGTACCACGAGCTGGTGCTCACCACCAAGGAGTACATGCGCCAGAGCATCGAGATTGACCCCGCCTGGCTGCTGGAGGTCGCTCCGCATTACTACAAGCCAAAGGACGTTGATGAGAGCGGCGGAAATATGGGCAAGAAGATGCCCAAGCAGATGGGCAAGGCGGCGGCCGAGCTGACGAGGAGCTACGCGTGAAATTAAAATTGGAAGAAGCGGACTACCCGACTTTGATTCAGGTCAGTGCCCACCCCTTTTTTTCATTTGCTGCTGCTGCTGATCTTCTTCTTCACCGGACTTCTCTCGTCTGCTGAAGGTTATGGAACTTTAGTGTTTATTTAATGTGTGTCAATTGATGAGTGTACAAAATGGGCAATTAGCCCTTGTCTTTTTTGGAATGATGATGATGATGACATACTACTACTTCAGACCAGAGCACCTCTTTCTTCCTACTTATTCACTGGTCCACTTTCATTAGCAGTTTGTCTTGTCAGTGTCCTGTGACCAGAACTATATTACATTAGGTAATCTTTGACCTTTAAAGCATTTCAGTCTTTGTCTTTCAGTCCAGCTTTCCTATCTGCGGAATGGACAGTCTTTTGACCCCTCCGCCGCCGCCATTGTAGTTCTCTGCCACTGGCGTGACGGTAAACTTGGCCAGCTCGTCGGTGCTGCCGCCGTAGCGGGCCGCCGCCCCTGTCCCCGCCCCCGTCGCCGCCGCCGTCCTCGTGGACGGCCACAGACTGTAGGGGGAGTGTTCGGCGGTGTGCAGCGTCCGCCGGAGGAGGGCGGTGCTGTAGCGGCGGCTGCGGTCCGCCGTCAGCTGGTGCTGGTGGGCGTTGATGTCCGCCTCGGCGAAGCTGAAGGCGCTGTTGAGGATGCCGCCGCCGCCGCCTCCGCCGAGGCAGCCGGCGGAGAGGGGCGGCGAGCGGCCGCGGTTGCTGTGGCTGTCCGAATGCTGCTGGTCCTGCTTGTCGAACTAGGGTTAAATTGGTTAGATTTTTGGGGCAAAAATACTCGTAAACGACTTACGAAGTTGTTTAGTGCCACCGTGGAGATGCGGCGGCGGTTGAAGCCCACCGAGGAAGGTGGTCGGTTGTTTTGCTGCTGCTGCTGCTGCTGAATTTGCGCAAAGCTAGTGGAGTGCTCCAGGTCTGAGATGACCACATGGGGAATGGGGGTTCGGGGGGCGGAGTGCATCGAGCGGAGGGAGCGCAGTGAGCCGCGGATGGCGTCATTGCGAATCAGGTGGGAGGCTATGTTTAGGGGTGGGTGGGCTGANGAAGGTGGTGGTGGTGGGGCCTGATGCTGCAGCATTGCGGCGCTTAGCCGACGGGCGAGGTTGTCCTAGGATTCAGGGAAGGGTTGGGAGTTAGTTTGGGTTTATTTTGGGAGGGGTGTTTTTTTGGGTAGTTTACCGCCGTCGGTCCGTGGTTGGAGATGCCTCGTGTGACGGTCTGGTAGACGGCGTCCGCCTGGACGTCCTTGGCAATGTCGGCCAGCGTTTGCAGCCGGACCGCCCGCGACTCGGGCTTCAGCAGGTCGTCCTTGTCCAGGCCGGCGATTTGCTAATGATAGGGGAGGAAAATTAGTTTTAGTTTGATTTGTGTTAGTTTATAGTTCCACTTACCGCCCACTCCTTGAGCACGTCCTCGCCGAGGTTGCCGCTGGTGCTGCCGCGGCTCTTCTCGTTGTACTCGCGGGCGATCTGTAAAAAGAAAGAAGGGGTTTTGTTAGTTTTGGAACAGTTTTCGATGCTTTTCTAATCAGTTGTTACCCTGATGTCCTCCTGGAAGAAGCGTCGATTCTCCGGTGACATGGTCGCCAGCGGGGCGATCTCCTTGATCTGTTTTGGGTGGAAAGAGGTTTTAAAAATTTCTCTTTTTTCTTCTACTCATATCTCCTACCTTGAGCAGCAGCAGCGCCCCGAGGAAGATGTTGGTGATGTTCACCAGACTGAAGAGGACGCTGACCAGGCCGAGGAGCAGCGTCTCGATGCCCATGTTGTCGCTGTAGACGACGCTGTACTTGTCGTGCGGGGCGAGGGCCGGTCGCAGCCAGACGGTGTCGTTTGTAAACTGCGACTGGTACGGCTGGGCCGTCTGGCCGATGGCGTACAGGCCGCGCAGGGTGGCGTAGGCCCAGTGGAGGCCCTGGGAAAGCAAAGGGATTAGAATTTTAGGGGTTTGGGCTTCTTTAGTTTCTTCACTTACGGCATTGACGCTGGGCGGGAGGAGGGAGACGGAGATGGCGACGCCGACGAGGCTGGCCTCATTGCCGCTCAGCAGGGAGATGGCCACGGCGCAGCCGGAGGGAAAGGCCACCAGCGTGCCGATCCAGACGACGCGCAGCAGGCCGCGCTCGCGCATCATGTCCGTCGGCCAGGCCCAGTCGCCCCAGTGGTCGGTGAAGTTGAGGGTGATCAGGCCGAAGAAGTAGCCTAGATGGGGAGGGGTTACCATTGTTTAGATTGTCCTGGAGAACTCTTTTAGCCTAGCCAAACTTACCGAAGCTTATGGTGACGGCGAAGCAGACGAGGATGTTCTTGAGGCCGGTCTTGATGAGCGAAAAGTCCTTGATGATGGTGCCGAAGGTGAAGCACATCACCGGGCCCATCATCGGCGACACGAGCATACTGGCCACCAGGCTGATGACGCTGTTGTCCAGCAGGCCCATGGCGGCGATCCAGCTGGCGAAGACGATGTAGCAGACAAAGTCGAAGGTGAGCGAGCCGTTGGAGCGGACGTTGTCCACCACCTGGGCCACGGTCAGCCGGGCCGTGACCGACTTGAGGAACTTGCTCTGCTTCTCCTTGAAGTTGCCGATGCTCTTGCTCACGTCCTTGTCGCCGTTTCTGGGAAGTTTAGTGTTAGTTTAGTTTAGTTTTAACTTCGACTTTGCACACTTACTCGAGGATGATCTCTGCGTCCTCCAGCTCGTTCATCTCCTCGTTGTAGCAGAAGAGGGAGAAGGGGATGATTCTAGGTGGGGGGATGGTTGGGGATTAGGTTTTTATTTTTAAAATTATTTTGTTCAGTATTTACCCGATGCTGGTGTCGAGCCTTAGGCCGACGCCCAGTGTCTTGAAGTACTGTATGACAATGTCGCTGTCCTCCAGCTCCACCGGGAAGGTGATGGTGTAGAAGCGGTCATTCTGGGAGCGGGCCCAGACGGCGTCCTGGATGCCCAGGTAGGAGAGGCCCTCCTCCACGATCTTCTCCATTGGGTAGTGCTGCTGATCAGCAGCGTTCTTTTGAATCTCAATTTCCGGTAGTTTATCACTACCACCACCATTAGCTGCTCCAAGGTTGGCGCCTCCATTCTCTGTGATGGTGTTCAGGTGGTGGCTCTCTAGAATTAAAAGTTGACACTTGATTGTTAGGGGTTATGATGATTAAATTTGGAAAAGAGGTCCTAGGGTAGTACCCTTTCTTTGATTGCTGTGATTGCTGTTGTTGTTCGACTGCTGCTGCTGTTTGTAGGTGAGTTTGGAGCTGAGTCGAAGTTTTTCTCTGACTTCCTCCTCGTAGTCCCGCTCGGGGATGATCAGCAGCACGAGGACGCTGGACATGGTGATGGTGATGGGGATTTACTTTGTGTAAGTTGGGATGTGATGAAGGACTAGAACTGCGATTGGACTATGTGTTAGCTGTGTACTTCTGGCACATTGTTTGATGTCTCTGTGTGGTGATGATGATGATCAAAAGTCAAGTTCAGATTGATAAAGTGTTGTGCTGCTCTTGTGCTGCTGTGGCTGCTGATGCTCTCACTTATCATCATCTCCACCGATCTGAACTGTTCTCCTTCTCACTTTTCTCTCTCTCTTTTTATTTTATAATGGCCACTAAACTTTTGAACTACCAGCCAACCAAGTTGCAGATATAGTTGCAGAGATTTCTCATCCTCCCTCACTCCCACTTCTGCTGCCCCTGCTCGCTTCGTTGCTATCGTCATCCACCTCATATCACATGCTCCATAAAGAGCAATTGAAATAGAGTGCAGTGCAGGCCAAGCTTGAGGCTCACTTCAGAAAATAGAAAGCGAGTGAGAGAGGTGACTAGCTGGTTGCCTGGATTCTCACTCAGTTTAGTGACTAGCGTAACGTATGCGAGGTGCTGCTGGTCACACCATAAACTTGTGCTTTATGCTCAATGTTTGCCCTCATGCCTGCCTAATTTGTTGTGAATTGGCATTGTCACCTCACGATGCTGGCCAGCACACACTTCATAATGCACACATTCCAGAACGGGGAAGGCAAAGTTCCAACTGCTGCTGCCGGCAGTTTGACTGTCTGTCTGTGTGTGATTGATGCTGCCGGAATCTGCTGAGGTGCAAACGCCTATGACATAAGCGTTAGGTGAACACACACACACAGTGGCACTTGCTGCTGCTGCTGCTGAAGGTAGAGGTAGAGCTGTAAAGTGTCAACTATATCATATTATTTTTCACTCTGTACGGCAAAGATAACAACTGTTAGCCTGAGTGTGAGTGAGTGAGTGAGTGTGAATGGCCACCCTAATTGGCTGACTGATTAACAACTTTTTAAGCAGAAAACGGTGATGTTGTCACACTCACACCGACGCTGAAGTGTGTGTGTGCTTATGCGTAATTACTGTTAAATGCACAGCAGGCAGAGCTTACCTGTTTTGCTGCTGATGATGAGTTTTCTTGTTGTGATAAAAAATAATGCAGAATTGACTTGCAGTGTGGTAGATAGGATAGGATAGATGGACTTTTCGCTGTTAAATAGCAGAGTTCAATCACCAGCTAATGTACTTTCTTTCTCTGTTTTGGCTGGTCAGCAACTCTTCGGTCACGGCATGCTGCTGCCGGTCTGTTGATTGAAGTGATAATCTGGAGCACTTGATGAATGAGGTGAGCGATGAAGAGGCAACTTTTGATCTTGTTCTGTTTGCAGCAATTGCAGCCGGGCAGTAGTAGTAGTAGATTTCGCCAAGTAATTATTATATACTAACCCGAGTTAATGGGATTCAAATGCTGCAAATGCCAAATCAGTGAGAGTGACTAACCAACTGTCTGACTAACTAACTAACTAACTCTGTCTGAGACCGCAGACTCAGAGTAAACTCAGACCGACTGACTGGCTGACTGGTGAAATCAAGTGAGAAGAAGAAGAAGAGGGCGATGAGTGCTTGGGAGAAATGATGTCTCGGTAGTCGGGCAACGTCGCCAACCTGAACTGCACCAGCAGCAGCAGCAGCACACCAGCACCAGTGNGAGACCGCAGACTCAGAGTAAACTCAGACCGACTGACTGGCTGACTGGTGAAATCAAGTGAGAAGAAGAAGAAGAGGGCGATGAGTGCTTGGGAGAAATGATGTCTCGGTAGTCGGGCAACGTCGCCAACCTGAACTGCACCAGCAGCAGCAGCACACCAGCACCAGCACCAGCTATTAAAATCAAAACGGTGCTACTTGATGTCATAAAAATGATGTAGAGAAATGCTGCTGCTGCTTTATTGCACTAATTAGCCGTGTACAGGTAGTGCAGTTATGACAGAAGAGAGGAGAAGATGAGAGAGAAAGGGAAAGGGGAGGTAGGAAGCAGCAGTATTCAATTGGTAGGGCCTAATTAGTGTCTACATCTTCACTTTCTATTTGGCCACTCTACTTGACCAGACTGATTTGCTCCAGGGCAGATCTGACCAGACGCACGTGTGCCCAGTCATGATGCTAATGATCATCATCAGTTGCTAATTGAGCTCAGTGCACTCTCCACTGTGTTTGCACGTGTTTGCACTGACTGCGGAAGCGGGGCAATATGCCTTCTCTTTTACTTTGATTTACTGCAGACCGACTGAATTGAGGAGCACTAATGTCGCCCGGAAGGCGCCTGGTGCCTCTCACTTTCTCTCATTTAGTATTACCAGATGTGTTGCAACAGGGCAAACAAACAGACTGTTGAAAAGTCGAGTTTTTTTGTCACTTTTCTTTTAAAAATCTTGTACAACCTCAACAGTCGTCCTCCGTACAGCAGGGCCCGTAGACGTAGAGGAGGATGAGGGTGAGCAGGCCAAAGAGGGCCAGCACGGCGAAGGTGATGGCGGCGATGATGCTCTGGCGGAGCTGACAGGCGAAGCCATCCATTGACGGGTAGAAGTAGGCGGGGTTGCAGATGCACACGCCCCTGGTGCTGCTGATGTTCTTTGGCTGTCCGTGCACGCCCAGAACGTGGTGATCAGGGTGGGTGGAGTTGCTGCACACCAGGTGGTAGTCACTGTCGAGGTTGCAGATGTCGTCTAGAAAAGGTGTAAAATTATTTTTAGTTTTTAAAGATAATAAAAACTTACCACTGGTGCAGTGAATCGGCGTACAGTGGTCCCCCGTCAGCTGGGTGCCCAGTGGACAGTCACATCTTCTTCGCAGGACATTGCACCGAGACTTGAGGGGATAGCTGCAGACGGGGTCGTTGACGGTGTGACAGTACTTTGGGGAGGAAGTGCTGGGGAACAAGTGGGGGTCGGTGGTGGTCTTTTCAGTGGAAAGTTGGGAGGAGGAGGAGATCATGGCGAGTGTAAACAAAGACGTCCACTTCATAATGTGATGATGCAGCAGCAGTAAAAATTGGCCACCAATATAACAACCTCTCTAACACTAATTCACTTTTGTTCTATTTTTCTATTTAACAGTTTGCAGCGTGTGTGTCTGTGCGAGAGGGCAGCAAAAAAAAGGAGGAAGAAAAAGAAGAGGAGTCAACCACTTCCCGGCGACGTGGTGGTGTTGGTGGTAGTCATCTTCTTCCCCGTCTTCTTTCCGCCGCCCGTCGACTGGCCGTAGTTGAAGGGGCCGACGCCGGGCGGGCAGCGCCCGCGACGCTTGATCCACTCGTGCTCGAGGACGTCGGCCATGGTCAGGCGGTCCCGCTCGTTGATCTCCATCAGGCGGTCCACCAGGTCGAGTACCTGGTGGCTGAAGGGGGCGCCCGGCGGTTTGATGTACCGCGAGCGGTGTGCCCGCTTCGCCATCTGCGCCAGCATCAGCGCGTTGCTGTTGTCGGCGCCGTCGAAGCGGAAGGGGAAGCGGTTGTGGCCGTTGAGCATCACGAAGAGGGTGACGCCCATGGCGTGGCAGTCGGCGGCCATTGGACTGTACGGTACCTTCTTGATCAGCTGGTACGACTGGTAGGGCTTGGTGCCGCAGAAGGAGCGGCTCATCTTCACCTGGCCGGTCTCCTCGTGGCGGCAGGTGGTGGCGAAGCTGAGGAGGGAAGAAAATGTAAGTCAAGCCATGAAGATGTCAACTTCGAAATGACGCCCCCTACCCGAAGTCAGTCAGCTTGCTGATCTTGAACTTCTGCGTGAGGAGGATGTTGTCCACCTTGATGTCCCGGTGGGCCATGTGGACGGTGTCGTGCATGTAGTGCAGGGCACTGCTCACCTGCTCGAACCACCAGGCGGCCAGCGACTCGGGACAGGGCCCGCGGGACTTGAGGTAGCCGCGGATGTCGCCGTCCTCGGCGAACTCCATCACCACGTAGATGACGCGGTTCGCCCGCCAGATGTCCAGCACCTGGATGACGTGCTCGTGCTCCACCCTGATCAGCGCCTCCTTCTCCCGCGGGAAGTAGGTGTCCTCGATGGTCTTGCCCGCCTTGTCGAGGTTCATGCACTGGTGGAGATAAAGAAAAAGTTTAGAAGATAATTTGGTGGTAGATCAACTCCTCACTTTACCTTGATGGCCACCCGCTGCTTGGTCTCCTTCACCTCGCCCTCGTACACCTCTCCGAAGGCGCCATTGCTGAGAAAGTTCTTCACCTCGTAGCCCTTCTTCCGAAAGACGGCCGCCGTTTCCGGGTCCAGCTGGAGGACCTTCTTCTTGCCCTTTGTCTTCTCATCTTCGGTCATGCTGAGGGGCTGGTGGTGTGAACTGCTTTTTTGAAACCGTTTTTCAACAAACAAAAACCCGTAACATCTGCTTTTATCAGGTCACTTCATCAGTCGATTTTAGAACTGGTCCCACTCTTCTCTTTGCTCTGGTCATTGTTGGCCAGCTGATTTGGAACTTCTTTTTCCTCTTGATCAAAGTCCCGAATTGCCGAAAAATTTATTTTTTTTTGGAAAAATCAAAACATTGGTCGGCCATTTCCACCCACCACGCTCTGTTCGCTTTGACCGAGAGAAGCAGCCTGCGATGGAAACAGTCGACAGCAAGCAGAGCGACGAGACAGCGAGAAAAAGTCACCACTACCACCAGACACCAGACAGTCAGTCAGAGAGCGCTTCTATTTCCCAACTTCTGGTCTTCTGGTTAGCGGCTGATCATCACCATCACCACTCTTGATCATCAACTCAAAGACCACCCTCAGACGAGCTTTCATTCCTCCACTGCCACCACTACCATCAACAGCAGCAGCA